GTCATTAGCAATGTAATGGAGTTTGCACATCATAACTTTGATAATCTTTCATACTTGTTTTTCCTCTGAAACTACTGATAGGATTGAGACTATTCCATTTAGTGAGCTTATGCAATAAAGAAAAAAAAATGGAAGTATCTCATTCCCCTACTAGCAAACTGCAATCTATCAAATATTTAAATCTTCATTATAATTAATACAACATCCAGACCTTTCTTTGTCATATGCAAATATTATATAAACTACAGAGCCTCTTCAATATTCTAGAAAATATTTTCCTCCAATAAAGTTAATAGGCAAAGGACAAAATGAACACACTGCCTTGCTACTCATGGTCAGTGATGATGTAATAAGTAGAGGTTCCTTTAAAATTTCAATCTAATAATTGTACCATCCATTTCTCCTATGATCATCAACTTACATCTATTGTGTTGTACAAAGTTGACAGCCATGTTCTTGGGAACAAATTCGGAGGGTCGTTCTTTCTTCATCATCCTTTCGCGAAGCAGTTTTTGTTTGGCTTCTTCTGTTGCCTCAATGTTCCGGATCTTTGCTTCGAGCCCCAAATCCACCTCAGGAATACCACTCAACATCTTAGGGAAAATGGTAATAGTGAATATGTGACTACTTCTTTTATACCCTATGAAAATAGAAAAATGAACCGAAGAAATTTGTTGCTTCATATGCATTTTTCTATAAATTGTACCTAGTCCAAATGTAAGTGTTTTTATACCCAGAGGACTGGCATTACTAAAATTGTTAGATATACAAGTATATAACACTTGCTTCTTCTATGCTGTCTTTAATAGTATATTAAGGCCTTAAAAGGTTACATAACTTCTATGAAAGGCACACACCACCCCTTACTTTTTTTTTTCACTTCATGAATGAATGAATGAATGAATAAGAAAAAAAAAAAAAAAAAAAATATATATATATATATATATATATATATATATATATATATATATATATATATATATATATATATATATATATATATATATATATATATATATATATATATATATATATATATATATATATATATATATATATATATATATATATATATATATATGGTTATCCCTTGAAATCCACCATATCCATATACCAATGCCTCCAAAGCAAAAATCCATATTTTCAAATTTATTAAATGACACCACAAAATGCTGTCAAAAACTAGTGAAAATGGCCACCAGTTAGTGAAATGAAACTACACTTAAAATCTTGCTCTAAGCTTAAAGTTTCCTGAAAAATATAAATATGCTAACATAAAGACAAACAATAAAAGAAACCTGCCTGGTTACTCAACATCTCCTCACTCTTCTTAGTCGTTGAAACCCTCAAGATATCTGGGACGGCATGCAGAGCTGCTTCCTCAAGGGTCAGGTGTCTTGGGGTCTCGTCCTGTTTTTCCACAGATGTAAGTCCCTTACGCTTTGCAAGATTCTCCTCAATGTACTTTTGCCTGTGAGATGTGTTCAATTATTGGAAGAAAATTGAAGAATAATGATTAATTAATACAAATTCTTCAATGGATACTATCATGGGCTAAGCAACCACATCACAACTATCAGTTATATTCTAGAATGTATGCCTACAAAGCCTGATCAGAGCCTGTGACATGATGTGAGCAGTTAGTCTGTTATGAGCTGATCATTGATTTAATCATAGGAAATGCACATGAAGGTGAAGTCACATGATAGCACACAATGATAATCTGGAGCCACCTTACCAAAAACACTGTTGGCAGTTACAATCAATCTAAATGCTATATCTATGTCCATGATCAATGATTCCATAATACAGATCAAAACAAATTCAAACATGCATCTTGTGGTTATCTGACTTAAGATTGTAATAAATCTTTTGAGATTTAACAAAGAAATGATCTAGTACAAACCAAACTAAAAGCAGCTACCACCAAGAGGAAAACACTGCCACATCCACTATTAATTTGCAGCTATGAGGGTGCTTTTAGCAAGCCACCGGGAAAGGGACTTATCCCATCTTCGATTTTTCTTGACTGGCTTGATTGACTTGCCCAAACTACAAATTTCTAGGTCTTTCCAAAAGCTTTCTCCACTCAGGTGTAACTTATTCTCAAGTTGTTGAACAACTTGTTTGCATAGCCTGAGTGGGTACTCCTGGATCCTGTGAGTCCAACACTAGTTTCATGGTGCAGTCATTTGCTGGACACATAATCCAGCCAATTGCATCTCATGATCCAGTGCAAAAGGTGTCACTGTGAGACTCCAAGACAGGAAAGAGTCTGAGTTTAATTACTATATAGCAATACCAGCTATATTAGGGCCTTGCCACTTGGGTCTCCAAACTCTTGACAGTTTGCCAACATGATTAAGATCAAAGTCAGTGACCCACACATTATCCAGTGCTGCCACCAAATGTTCTACCTATTATGAAGTCTATTCAAGTCTTGAAAAGTCACTGGAAAGGAGCTAAATAAGCTTCACTATACTTTACAGCACTTTCAATACCAATTTACAGGAATGTCATATGACCAAAAGTCTTTGTTTGGATACTGTGAGTCATCTCTGAGGTCAGTTGTCCCTTGTAACACAAAGTTCCAGTATTAATAGTGTAATTGCCAAGCTACCATGACTTAGAATACCATTCATGTCAAAAGATTCAGGCAGACTTTGGTATGCAAGTGCTTACATGCAACCTTGAATATAAGCAAATGTTTGGGGCAACTATATTTTCAAGAATGTAAAGTACTAAACTGACAAACATTATCATGCTTTGTACTAATAGATTATATTAAACGAAAATAAGAAATGATCTAGTACAAACCAAACTAAAAGCAGCTACCACCAAGAGGAAAACACTGCCACATCCACTATTAATTTGCAGCTATGAGGGTGCTTTTAGCAAGCCACCGGGAAAGGGACTTATCCCATCTTCGATTTTTCTTGACTGGCTTGATTGACTTGCCCAAACTACAAATTTCTAGGTCTTTCCAAAAGCTTTCTCCACTCAGGTGTAACTTATTCTCAAGTTGTTGAACAACTTGTTTGCATAGCCTGAGTGGGTACTCCTGGATCCTGTGAGTCCAACACTAGTTTCATGGTGCAGTCATTTGCTGGACACATAATCCAGCCAATTGCATCTCATGATCCAGTGCAAAAGGTGTCACTGTGAGACTCCAAGACAGGAAAGAGTCTGAGTTTAATTACTATATAGCAATACCAGCTATATTAGGGCCTTGCCACTTGGGTCTCCAAACTCTTGACAGTTTGCCAACATGATTAAGATCAAAGTCAGTGACCCACACATTATCCAGTGCTGCCACCAAATGTTCTACCTATTATGAAGTCTATTCAAGTCTTGAAAAGTCACTGGAAAGGAGCTAAATAAGCTTCACTATACTTTACAGCACTTTCAATACCAATTTACAGGAATGTCATATGACCAAAAGTCTTTGTTTGGATACTGTGAGTCATCTCTGAGGTCAGTTGTCCCTTGTAACACAAAGTTCCAGTATTAATAGTGTAATTGCCAAGCTACCATGACTTAGAATACCATTCATGTCAAAAGATTCAGGCAGACTTTGGTATGCAAGTGCTTACATGCAACCTTGAATATAAGCAAATGTTTGGGGCAACTATATTTTCAAGAATGTAAAGTACTAAACTGACAAACATTATCATGCTTTGTACTAATAGATTATATTAAACGAAAATAAAAAAGCTATAAATACATTTCTGCATCTTCATCACGTCTGTTGGTTTCTGCTGAGAAGGACGTTCCGATACCCGTATCATAAGCATCATCAGATTTCTTGGCATTTTTCACTTGATTCAGATCAAGCATACCTCCAGTCTTAGTTTTAAATGGGTCGTCCTGTTCAAAAAATAGTTTTTATTATCTAGCCCGTAATATAAAGTAAAAACAATATCAGATCAAATTAAATCTACAAATACAATAATACATCAAAATGAAAATACACAGTATACACATGACGACTTTTTCAGGTCAACTTACATCTGGACCTTCCTTCTTTTCGACTTTTTCCCCAACCAAGAGTCCCTCCGCACTGATACCTCCCTGCCGACGTCTAAATTTTCTCATCTCTTTACTCTCTTCAAGTTTCGCTCTGTGGTGCATCAAAAAATATATTAGCTCATATTAGTGAGGCCTCATACAGAATTTTTTCTTGCCAAATCTATTGGTTACACTGTTTAGGAATTCTAGAACACTTCAAATTAAGTTTTTATATTTATCTTATTCTAAATCTATCTTTAAAAAAACTCTTTGACTAATTTATAATATAAAAACTAGCATAAATTATCTATCAATTGTCCTGCATCAGGTATAGAAGAATCAAAATTTCTGGTTCATCAGTGCACCAAAAATAACACTCTTGCAGACTTTCCTGACGATTTATTATCACAATAAGAAACAGCAGAATATAAATATATTGTGAAAGTTTGGTGGCCTTTGCTGGAGCGCGGAGGCCACTGCGGTCTCTTGATATGATTCCATTCAGGATAATTGTCAATTTTATAACTCTAATTACTTTAATTACTTTCTAATTTGGCTAAAATTGTCGAAAGATGCAAAAAAAAAAATAATAATAATAACAATAAAAAAATAATACTTAAATCTCACAATAAAGATTCCTCCTCGCCTGGACTGGGTTCCTCCTCCTCATCGGATTCTCTTCTTCGCCTCAAATTCTTGCCTTTTACCTTCTTAAAAGATATTTTTGGCTTCTCCTCGACCTCTTCTTCTCGGCGCGAAGACATGGTGTGTCACAGAGTCCCTTTAGGTGAAAAAAATAAGTAAAAAACGAAGAAACTTTTACAATTATTTGCAAGCTCGTCCTCAACACAACGAGGGAGCGTAAGTGTAATTGTTTACAGGCGATGAAGTTGTTATATAAAGTTCAGTGTTCATCCTATAACATGTATAACAATTTTTTTTTTATCATTTCACACATTTTTTTTTCTCAGTTATTGAATAATATCATTTATCACTCTTGAACTCGATCCAGGCGATGAGCCAATATGATGTAACTGCTATGTAAGGTAAGGTAATGACTGACGAACATCGGAAGAGACAGACACAGCGAAGATTACCCGCAGTCCAACCTCAAGAAACAAGAAACAAAGGAGGAACAAGAACAAACAAACAAACAAGAAACAAAGGAGGAACAAGAACAAACAAACAAACAAGAAACAAAGGAGGAACAAGAACAAACAAGCAAGCACAGGACAAGAAACCGACAGACAAAGGCATGGAACCCCAAATCTACACATTGGAAACCCACAAGACAACGTAATACTCCATTTCAACGTAAGTATTGGCCACATCCACTTAACACTCTTATCAGATGCCATATTCTGACCTGCCTCTATACCCTCTATATAATGTTCCTTTTTTTCAGTTCCACACATTCTGTTGTCCTGTTTATGCTTATCTTATTATTTATAATTTATTTTTATTATGCTTATTTATATATATATTTATTTATTTATTTATTTATTTATTTATTATGCTTATCTTATTATTTATTATGTATCTTATTATTATTATTTATCTTATTTATATTTATCTGTCCTCCCTTCACCAACCTCCTTACTTGGTGGACATCCTTCCAGAATCCCACACTTTCTGCTTTGACAACCTGTTCTCCTTCCTCAGACACATTTATATCATTTATTTTATCTAATCTCCCCTTGCTTAATCCTACTTTAACCCCTTCACTCATCCTCTCCTCATTTTTTTATGAAAAGAGAGGGAAATATGAGGCTGAAGGAATACGAACAATATCTTCCTGTTCTAATACCTTAGATGTTTAGCACATCTGTATATTTTAACCATTAGCATTTAACCATATAATACTGCAGTGTACAAGATTTTAATTCCTACAAAATAGAGTTGATGAAAGCTCTGAAAAGAATCAAAATAAATAGCCCTAATATAGAGTTACTATTCACAGGTGCTGACCTCTCACCAACAAAGAAGTACTACGTTTGAAAGCACACCATAATCTTCCTGAAAAAAAAGCAAAACTAACAAGAGATAATATAAGAAAAGAGAAAGAAAGAAAGAAGAAAAAGGATCCAGGGGATACAGACCATACAAAAGAAGAAAGATAATGATGATTACTGCCAGCTAAAGTTGACTGAATAAAGCATTCGGAGGTTAAATTTCAAGATCTTTTATAAGAAGAGAGGGACACAGGAAGCTGAAGTCATACATAAAATGTCTTTTAAGCCTGATATCAGCCCTGCATCACTGCTAAATCAACTAAATGTATGTAAAGGTGTTGAGCAGATAAAACTTATAGATTTGTTCATGTTAGATGAATGTTTGATAGACAGCCAGGGCATTGTCAAAACCTCAAGCTTCTGGTCATTTTTCACAATGCTTTGGCATAAGTGATCATGAAGATTTTGATATTGATGGATTCCTCTCACCCTCTAGTACACATATAGGAAGGAATTATGCCACAGAACCCCTCCAAACCTCTACATTTTTAGAAGTGGATGAAAGGTACCAGGGAAATTATAGGGTGCAATATAATAGCCCCCTACATTAGACAATGTAGGGACTGATTCTGTGTATAATATTCAGATTTTACTCTGCAGTTTCCATGATACTTTTCATACCCTCCCCTGCTATCAAGGCCAAGATTGTCACAAATGGGGGAGGTTTCCATGGCATAATTTTGAATGAGAGGAATCCATTGATCCCAAAATCATTGCAGTCGGTTATGTGAAGGTATTCTGAAAGTATACCCACCCTTTTAATTTATAATCTTGTAAAAAAATCTTATCCAGCTCTTTCTTATCTGTGTAAAGGGAGAGAAGTGTTTTTGGCTTTTGCTTGAGCACATATACAGTTATCTATTTATTGCAACAGACAATAATTATAGTCCTTCATTCAGAGATCACAAGAAGATTAAGACAATTTGGGGTGAAGACCGTTATTACAAATACAAAAAAAGTCTAATTTCCTAGCAAATACAAGCATATAGAAAGTCACTTTGGATCTAATTAATTTTTACCCTCAATGTTGTTCTTGCTAGGACTGCTTTTAGCCAAAAAATATATTATTATCATTATTATTATTATTATTATTATTATTATTATTATTATTATTATTATCAATAATCATGTTAAGTAAAATAGTAATAGTAGTAGTAGCATACTTTTTTTTTTATAGAACCATCACCTATTTATAGCCATTCCTACACCACCATTTAATACTGAACGAAGAGCACTTCACCAATATTGTACTGCTAGATACTACTATAAGTTATATCTGCTAGTTCTATGTACTTAATATTATTATCCCCACTTTTTGTTCTATATTGCTATTACCAGTGTTACTACTAATAATAATTCCACTACTGCAGCCCATAATCTCTACTTCTAAGTTTCATTCATAATCATAATTATGATATGAGGTAATGAATGAACATCTTAAGTAAATATGCATTCTTTTACAATTTAGGATCGTCGTGTGACAGAACTTTTGGCAGACCATATCCCAGAAGATGAAGCAAAACTCTTAAGCAATGGAAGGTCAGTTCACTACTTTACAGGTCACTACTTAGAAAACTTTATGTAAAGTAAATACTTTTCAGGAAAGATTTTTCATTTTGAATCTTTTCCCAGGGGTCTTCAGAAGTGAAAGTTTGTTGGTTTCTAGACTTTTCTATAGAGTAAATATATTTTTATTAAAGAATCATGCTATGTAAATAATTATATCAGCATTGAATGCCATAGATCTGTTAACTTCATCTTATGTTTGTTTTGACTTTTTTTTTTCAGATATACATGCTTAGTGTGCAATGACAGACCAGTAGTTGATACTCTAGCAGTGTTATCTCAGCATCGTGTTGGAAAAAAACATCGATTTTGTAAGTTTTATTAGGAAAAAAAGGGTTTTTCCCTCTCACTGCTGATATTTTTATTTAAGATATTAAGTTTGTTTATAAAATCAAATAGTCTGGATATAAGCCATAGGACCATAGACTTGTTTAAAAATCAGGATGTTAAAATAAAGAAGCCATTGATATATTCACCTGTATGTCAGCCTTAATGGATAAAATTTGAAATCAAAGAGACATTTGACCAAACCAAATGTCAGGGTATATCAGTTCAAAATTCAGGTAACTGTAAAATTGATTTATAATTTATTTTCAGAAAATCCCTTTCAGGAAAAGTAAAGAAAAAAAAAAAAAGTATTATTATTCTGAAATTAAATATTTATGTAAAATGAAATCCACTTTTATTCTTTTATTAAGTTGTATTGATTTTTCATTGTTAGGATAGTGTCATAGGGCCATGAAGATAATATGATAATATTTTAATGTATTTCTTAAGAAGGTAAAGTACAAGTCATTTTGCTTTCACAGTGATTTTAAAGTTCTGTTTCCAATTCCTTTCACAGATCTTGCCAAGTTCATGGAGAAAAAGGAAGAGACAGAAAGGCTTATTTTGAAGCGCAAACAGGAAACGTATTTGAAAAATGGAACAACAGACAACAGTGGAACCAAGTTACATCCTGATAGAGTTCTGGGACAAGCAACAACTAGGTGAGGTTTCGACTTTTGCATCTAATTTTTGTGATTTAATTTATATGTTATATTTTTCTTTATTCTTCTTCTTCTATGACGTTTCCCTTGTTTAGGGGTTGTCACTTGTTGTCATTTGTTTTATTTATTATAGGAATGCAAAAAAAAACAGTGATAAAATTGTTAAGTTCCTTCCTTTCAGAGGCCTGTTAAAGACAACTTCAACATATGATAGTAGAAGTAGGTCAAAATATAAACCATACAGTCGGAAAGTAGTTCTTGAATTTGACAGACAAGGTAAAGTTTTTCTTTTTTTATAATTAAATGTAACATTTGTTGTGAGATATATTTTACTTATGCTATGTATCTATATATAATTGCTCTTATTCCAAGTTGAGAAAAAATATATATATTCCATTTAATAAAACCAAATCACACTTCCCTTTTAGAAAAAGTAAGTACACAACAGATGGATAGTCCACAACAACCGGCAAATCCCAAAACACAAGTCAATAAATATATTCGTCAGTCACAAAAAAAGAAAGATTTCACTGATGTTGTGGAAGCCAAGAGAAAGCTAACAGCGACACCCCCTAGTAACGACTCCCCACATGTACCGAAACTAAAGACTCCAAGAAATACGCAAAGTGACGGCCCGGAGAGTTCTTCAGAAACGCCCGAGCCAAAGGAAATTGACCAGAGAACCAGATATTACCAGAATTTGCGAGCCTCAGGGTGGAAGAAGGATTTATTAGGGAATTGGGTCAGAGATGATGATGCAGAGTTTGACAGTGATGAAGAACCACCAGAGGAATATGAAGTTAAAGTGAACTGAAAGAAGGATAATGAGGATTCATCCAAAACAGGTGATTCATTTTTGGATGACCAGTTCATCAGAATGTATATTTTATACAAAAAAGTAATTTACCAAGATTTTATTGTTTTTTTAGCCAACAATTTAGAATACCTATGACCTTTTAAATAGCATACTAGGCATACATGAAGTGATTGGTAAATAAATGAATAAGTGTTTGTATGTATATCCTACTGACTTCTCTCCATAAATAAGTACTTATTTTCTGGTGCATAGTCTGACATTCCTTAATATCATATACTTTGTTACCTTTATCTAGGGTTTGTTACCATTTTGTGGTTTGGGAGCAGAAATGCACTAAAACATACTGCAATTATAACCCTTATCAATTCATTCATGTTACTATTCATTTTCATTAGCAGAACTGATGTAAGAATTATGTTAAGTTTTTAGTGGTAATTATTACCTTTTTTACCTTTTACTTTTTTATAAATATCATTGTTGTATTCATCGCTGACCTTATTGAAGACCGTCGTAGTATTACCTTAATAAATTTCGGCGAGTACTATTATCATCATCATAAGTATCTCATAATTATCACAGCCCACCAATCCCATGCCCATTGTTGCTATGGGGGGGGGGCTTAGGAGCCGGAGACTGGAACCCAATGCTGGGGATAGCTCAATTAATTTTGCATGGTCTTTTACCCTTCCCCTTTTTGTTTCCTTTTCTCTGACCCCTTCAACTATCCACTTCCTAAGGTGTGAGAGCCATGTTTAAAGGAGTCAAGGGCTGACTTTGTGCCAGTCATGAATGACCTGGGGGAGCCATGAGCACATAATCCCCCCCCACAGCCCCTTACTCTGACAACACTCTCCTCTTTCAGTAATGCCTCCAAAAAACAAGTAGGCAAAGTTTCCTTCTGCATCCTCCCCAATCATTCCCACATTATCACAGTTACATCTGAATCCCAAGCTATAGCAATATCAACCCTAACTAACTTCACTGGCCAACCTCATCTGCCCTTCAATACTTGCATTGGAACTGTCTCCATCTCCTCAGCAAACTGCCCTGTCTACAACAAGGATTGGTCAGATTGTGGAGAAGACTTACTCACCTGCCTCATGGACTAAGATGTAGTATCAGCGCAGTGCTACACCATCCTCCCCGTTGTAGGTCTCCCACCAATATTGCTAAAATTACTCTCAGTAGACATGACCTCCCTTTCATGTTTACACTAGTGGAGAGTTCCTTCCTGTCCAACCATATCAACCTCCCACCATCAGTGTCAGAATTGTTGCTGTCTAGACCATCCTGCCAAACACTGCATACACTTCATCCATCCTCCAATCTTTCTACACCTATTCCCTCTACACTCAAAATAACTGCTGACATCTACCATCCTCCTACTTACGTTCCCCCTCCACCCCTTCCTCCCACTCCCTCCCAACACATTCCATTCCCCCATGCTTCAGCTGCATCTCCCCTCCTCCTCCTCCATTATCCTTCCCACTTCCCCTTCCCAGGGTTCTCTCCCTCCCAACATTCTCCCAGAATTGGTGATCTAATTGCCCTTAAATCCCTCTCTCCTTTGCTAATCCCTACCTTACCCTACTGACATCCTTGTAAAATCCCACACTTCTTCCTTTTACAACTTTGATCTGATAATCCCTATCTCCCTGAACTGCTATACGACTTGTGATGTAGCACATTTAATCATCAACTAACCCCCTCTTTACCCTTTTCACTATTGCACCTTTCTATAGTGCTATATGACCTTTGATGTCTAGCACATATACTTTGCTTTGCAACCATTAACCATTACTATATTATTATTATTTAACAATTATTATTATCATTATTATCTACTAAATTTCCATTTTTTAAAATCATTTTCAATATCATATATCAAACTAGAAGATATAATCTTTACCAGCTATTTTCTGTAGCTTAAAAAAGGTATATGCTTTTGTAAGAGAATCTCCTGCATAATTTCAACTAAGATGGAATCCATCCAAATACCTCAAGACTCAGGTAATGGAAACAAAAAGGTAAATGAAAAAATAACTTTATTTCTTTTAAAGTAAAAGGACACTTTAATTGTAAGCTCAATGTGAAGATACAATGCATGGTTTAAAAATGAGAATAAAATCTTCACACCACAAAATTTTCATAGTAAAGTATTGATTATGTGACCAAGAACAATGGAGAGGGATACATGATGGTAAGTACTACTTAACAGTAAATGGCAAACTTATATCATGACTATGATGATAAAAAGATAGAATCAGTGCAGAAATAAAGCAAATAAAAAGAAAAGTAATAAGAAATAAAAGTAAAACTATCCCTACCAGAGTATGGTATTGTAATATAATCTTGTTAAAACAGAACACTTGTGTTACAACACAATTGGAGAAATATATGCACTCATTTTTTTTCTTCTTCCAAAAAAGTTGCATATCTAAGAATTTTCCAAATTATATACTATATATGGCGACTTTCTTTATTCCAGTATTTTTTTTATGGACAACAATACCATTATGAATTACTAAAATAAGGTTCTTTTATCTAATCTAGGAGGGGTGCTCATTAATGATTTCCCCTGACCCTTTCCTGCTTATCCTAGGAGGCTGAAATTTCACATGGATAATGATGCACATCTCTTTAGGTCATGTGCTGATTTCCAGTTCTTGACTGAACATGTTTTCTGCTCCAGTATATTTGAAGGGCTGCACATCACAAGAGACCTTCAATGAAATGAAAGCAGCTACTGGAGATGATGCCCCATTATATGATGTTAAACATTGGCATCACCAGTTCAGGTGTGGTTGAGATCTATCCCAGGGTGGCCCCAGAATGCCACTGATGAGAACACCATCCATCAAGTGTAGAGAGCCATATTGGAAGATAACCATACTACTGTTCATCAGCTAGTCCAAGATTAGTGTTGGGTCTGTGGACAAAATCATTTATGACCATTTACGTATGCAAAGGTTGTCTGCTTGATGGGTTCCCAGACTACTCAAGTCCATTGTTTCAAAGCTCTTTTAGACAGGAGGACTTTTTTGACAGACTAATTACATAGGATGAAACTTGGGTGCATCACTGTCATCCAGAAACTAAGGCCCAATTTAAAACAATGGAAGCACTTTGACTCGCCACCCCCTAAAAAGGCACATGTCACACCCTTAGCAGGCAAGGAGATGCTCAATCTTTTGGGACCAGCATGGAGTAGTGATGATGGCTTTCCTGGTAAAAGGTACTAGAGTTACATGGTATACTACAATTACATGGTAACTGTAGTGGAATGTTGACCAAAGGTGTCTGCCTCTCACAAGACATCACCCTTGTTCATAACTCTCACATTATCCAGATGGAAGTGCACTCCTGTGGCTACATCATCTTTCCAAATCCTCCTTGTCCACCTGACCTTGCACCATCTGACTTTTACCTCTTTTCATCCATGAAGTCATTTTTGAAGGGCAAACATTTCCAAAATGAGACATTGGGAGACATTGATTTCTGGAGTCATTTCATGACTTCAGACATAATCTTGTGGACTCATCACTTCTATAAGTGATGAGTCCACAGCTGTATAACACAATGGGAGAAGTGCATCACTCTTGGTGGAACTTAAGGTAAAGAAAGACTAATAACTGTACAGTGTTTCATTCCTGTACATCCAAGGGAAGTAGGCCAGGGGAAATCTTTAATGAGCACCCCTTATAGCTCCTGTATATTTACCCCTTATAAGAAAACCTTTGTCTCACAAAACTCCCCAACCAACTCTTTTACAGAAACACTTGAATATATTCAAAACTATCTGCTGGAGTCCCAAATTGACACCTAAACTTCTCATCCACCCTCATATCCTACAACTCCTGCTCCCTCCACACTCAGAGTGACTGCCAATATCCATCCTCCTACTCATATTCTCCCTACACCCCTTTCTCTTACTCCTACAGCCACCTTTCCTTGTTGTTGGTAATTTTAATGGCTGCCACACTCTTTGGGGCAATTCTATCATCAACTCCCGTGGCTGATCCCAAGAACACTTCCTTTCTACAACTGATTTTATTATTCTTAATTCTGATCACCTGACACACTTTGATATATGCAAGCATCCTTTTTCATGCATTGACCTCTCTCTGAGCCTGTACACTGAATCAGGCATGCCACCTCTCTCTCAACGTTGTACCTTTCTCTCTCTCCGGTGCTATGCTTGATTCCACAAACTTTCCCTCACCAAACTATCCCACAATCCCTGCTTCCTACCTTTGCTTCTTCTCCACATCTACCTACTCCTTTCTCCCTCCTCTCCCATTCCCCTTTTCCCCATCTCCTACCTCTTCCATTTTCTGTCCATTCTGTCTCTCCATGGCTTATTCCTTATCCCTATATTTGTTCCTCTGTTTTCCCTGATCTACCAAAATCAGATATCGCCCCCAATGTCCTTCTCCCGTTTACATGTTAGCCATACCCATCTATCACACTACCATCTGATGTCATGTTCTGACCCGCCCTTATGTACCTTATGTAATGTCCCTCTTTTAGTTCCACACATTCTGTTGTCCTGTCCACGCTTTGATGCAGCCCGTACCTTTACTTTCCCCTGCCTATCGTACCTTCACCGACCTCCCAACCTATCAGACATCCTTACGGAATCTCACACTTTCTGCTTTGACAACCTGTTCTCCTTCCTCAGACACATACATATCCTTCCCTTGATCTAATCCCCCTTACCTATCCCTACCTTAACCCATTCACTCATTAACTCCTTTAACCATCTCAAACCTTTTCAATATTAACCCATTGCCGCCGGGGAAAATGAACAAAAAATGGGGAAAATGCTGTGCCTATTTTCTATACTTTTTTGTTAAATGTCTGCCCATAGATGGCTCTGTTAGCGCCTGATTTGAAATGGCGGGAAAAACGTATTTTTCACTAGTGCCATGAATATCGATGGTGTTATTTTTATCATAAACATTGTAATTTTTATAATGTTTTTTAACAATAGTAACAGCAAAATAAGATAGCGTAAAATATTTCGTTAATCAAAGAAAAAGGTGAACGGGCAAGACAGGCGGTACTCGTAACTGGCTCATTGGTGATTTAGT